CACTATGAGAAGAAGCAGGTCCCAAGGTGCTCACTGGGTCACACTTGCTAGTTGGCAGGGTTACCGTGCCTTGAAAGCTTAACATGATATTCGCCATTTTTTAAAGTTTTATTTTTTTCAACTACAGCTGACATTCTATATTATTTTATGTTAGTTTCAGGTGTGCAGTGCAATGGTTAGACATTCACATAAAGTGGTCCCCTGATTAGTCTGGTCCCTAAATTCACCATTAAGTATCCAGTGCAGTGGCACTAAGCATATTTACACTACTTTGTGACCATCACTACCATCTATCTCCAGAACTTCATCTTCCAAAACAGAAACTCTGTACCTGTTAAATAATAACTCCCCATTCCCCCTTCCTCTCAGCCCCGGGCAGCAAGCATGCTGCTTCCTGTCCCTATGGATTTGCCTCTTCTAGACATCTCCATTGTGTAATCTTGGCACCCTTGTTGGAGATCTTTGGCTGTATATGAATGGGTTTATTTCTGGGCTCTCTATTCTATTCTATTGGTCTACATATCTGTCTTTTTGCCATGCTGTTTTAATTACTGTAGCTTGATAATATAGTTTGAAAACAGCAGGTATGAGATAGGAAGCCTGGAAAGGGGCAGATAAAATTAAGAAAAGTGAGAGATAATGGCACCTGAACTAATATCGATCCCCATCTGTTATGGGCCAAGCTGTGTCTCCCACGAAATTCATATATTGAAGCCCTAAGCCCCCATACCTCAGTGTGCAATTGCATTTGGAGAGAGGGTCTTTAAAGAGGTGACTTAAGTAAAATGAGGTCATATGGGTGGGACCTAGTCCAATCTGACTGGTATCCTCATAAGAAGAGATGCAGACACAGACACACACAGAGAGGGAGGGCCATGCGAGAACACAGGGAGAAGACGTTCATCTACAAGCCAAGGAGAGAGACCTCAGAAGGAATCAGCCTTACCGACACCTTGATCTCAAACTTCCAGTGTCCAGAACTGTGAGAAATAAATTTCTATTGTTTAAGTTACCCAGTCTGTGGCACTTTGTCATGGTGATTCGAACTGACACTATTTTGTGTCCTTTCTGACTAGGGCCCACAACAGGGCCTGGCGGGGCCATTAGAAGGTATTCAACCAGTCTAGGCTCACCTCAGATTCTGAAGTTTGCAGTTGGGGTGTTGGAGCCCTTGACACAGCAGCTTCACGCCCCGGTTCCCCAGGGCATTGCGGTACAAAGCCAGCTCCATCAGATTCGGGTTGGTGCTCAGGGCGGCGGCAAGTTGCTCACTGTAGGCATCTGGCAAAATATTCCTCTCAGGTCTGCATGAAGGAACGACAGGTCGAGTCTAGTTTTCCCAGTCGCTTTGCAATGACTACGTTCAGCACTTGACTGTCACTTCATAATTTATAAAGCATTCTATCACTTTCATTTTAATTTATCTTCCGAATGACTCTGTGTTACTCTCCCAAGGTCATGTAGCTGGCAAGTAGTAGAAACCAGACTTAAACCCTGGGACTCGGGATGGGACATGGATTTCATCTCAGAGGTATATGTATTTTTATGTATTGAGGTAACATTGGTTAATAACATTATGTAAGCTTCAGATACACGACATTATAGTGCGATGTCTGTATACTCTATTGCATGTTCGTCACCCAAAGTCTTGTTTCTATCCGTCACCATATATTTGACCCTCTTTACTCATTTCACCCTACCCCCTACCTCCTTCCCCTCTAGCAACAATCAATCTGTTGTCTGTATCTATGAGTTTTTGTTTTGTTTTGTTAGTTGGTTGGTTACTTTTTTGTTTTTATTTTGCATGAGTGAAATCATATGGTTTTTGTCCTTTTCCACCTGACTTATCTCACTTAGCACAATACCCTCTAGGTCTACCCATGTGGGCACAAATGACAATATTTCATCTTTTTCTGGCTGAGTAGTATGCCATTGTATATATGTAACACATCTCATCTTCTTTATCCAATCATTCATGAGTAGACAACTGCCTGGATGATATTTGTTGATCGAAAACATTCCCCTTGACAATGGGCCCCAATTTAGTACTAAAGAGCATTGTTTGAGAGCAGGAAACTAACCTGGGCACTACTGACATCTGGAGGCAGATCATCTTTGTTGTTGGGGGGCTGTCCTGAGCACAGTGGGATGTTTTTGCAGTGTCCCTGGCCTCTACCCACTAGATGCCAGTATTCCCACTCCCATCTCCTCAAGTTGCTACAACCAAGTCTTTCTCCAGAAATTGCTGAGTGTGTCCTGGGGCAGGGGCAACATCACCCCCAGGTAAGAGCATGAACTTGTCCAGCGAGCCCCAACGAATACTTACGATGGTGTCAGAGGCATCCGGGGCCCTGAAGTCCACCTTGCCCCGTCTTCCTCGTCCGCACTGTAGGCAGCCCCATACAAATGCAGCACCAGGATGCTCCTGCAGTTCTTCATGCAAAAGGAGGAGACCATGTGTTCCATCTTTGTGGTGATGCTGCTGACCACAACCACTTGGAAGTGGCCTAGGGCCTGCTGGATGAACTCTTTCTCCTGAAGCTCGTATAGACAGCTGAGAAACTCTAAGGAGCCCCGCTGCAGGGTGGAGCCCTCACTCTGAGCTTTGCTTTGGATGTACTGCAACAGCTCCACCTTGATGTGAGGCGAGACTTTCCAGCAAAGACACTTCTCCAGGTAGCTTCTCGTCTCCTCATTGAGAAGCCCGAACAGGAAACGGACAGTGAGTGCCAAGAAGCTCCTTTCAGAAAACGCATACTCAGCCAACAGCCTCCTCAGGTTCTGGTGTGGGCTGGCCCCACTCTCCCCACCATCCATGATGTAGTACATGGCCGCAAAGAATTCCTGGAAACTCAGGTGTATGAAGCTGTAGAACTTCTCACAGTTGATGTCCTTCTGGAAGATGTTCATGTTTAGGAATGAAGAGACATCGACCCCATCCAGGCCATGCTTCCGGAGGTCCTGCTCCTCAAATAAGATTTTCTGGTTCCAGAGACCATCTGCTGCCAAGGAGCATAGCCCTCTCTGGTTGGGCGGGGGCTGGAGGGTTGGAGACCCTGGCTTGGGCTGCATCAGACTCAGAAGATAGAGCATATACACTGCTGTTGTGGTCCTGGACGTCTGTCTTAAAAGTCCCCCACCCTCCAGCTGCTGCTTGAGGCAGGTGCAGACCACCCAGCACACCAAAGGGACAAAACACAGAGTGAAAAGGGGCTCATTGTCCCTCACGAAGTTGAAGACTTGGCCCGCCTGCTCCGTGTTGTGGAAATACTTGTAAAAGTACTCTTTCCTTTCGGCTTCAGAGAAGCCCAGGACCTCGACGTGCCTGGGATGCTCCAGCAGGCGGTGCAGCTTCTCCAAGGCCGCTGGCCTGGTAGTGATAAGCAAAGACAGCTCTGGCAGCAGCTTCTTCCGAATTAGGCTGCTAAGGAGGAGCTCTGTGGGCTGTTTCTCCTCCCAGCAGAGGCAGCAGGGTCCCTGAGAATCGTGGAAGGAGGGCCTGAGCTCGTCAAAGCCATCGATGATGAAAAGGAGGCGCTCGGGAACTTGGACGAGCTCCCAAAGGGGCGCGCTGGGTTCAGGCCAGCAGCTGGAGAGGAGGTCTTGCACGCTCTGATCTGACGCGCTCTGGTTCATCTCCCTGCAGTGGATGTAGAAGACGTAGTCGAATCTGTCCCGAAAGAGCCTCCCGTCGGCCCAGTCTAGCATCACCTTGTGGGCCAGCATGGATTTGCCCATCCCCGCCGCCCCCTGCAGGACCACTGTGCGCGGAGGCTCCGGGCGCTCCTCGTCTGGCTCAAACAGGGTCTCCATCTGGATAAGGCTGGTCTGGTGTCCTATGGTTCGCGCGTGTCCCCAGCCTGTGTCCAAAAGCTTCTGCTGGGCCCACATGGGATTTGAGTGCTCCTTCACCAGGAGGAGCCGGGTGTAGCGGTGGCTGAGGTTGACGCATTCCCCCAGGCGCGCGTTGCGGTCCTCCATCAGCCGAAACTTCCTGCGGACGTAGTCTCTGTAGGTTTCCCGCGGATCTGATAGGGAGGAATGAAGGGTGCGTGGAAGATGCATCAGCAACCTTTCATGAATTCTTGAGTTAAAGCACACCAGGGCCTAGTGCCTCCTTGTTCTGCAATATCCTTGGAACAGGATTCAAGATGGAGCCTGAGTACCTTGGTACTTCTGTGTAAAGACCCCTGCTGGTGGGAGGCAGAGGCATGGACATGGAAAGCGTTTTTACACACAAGACTCTAATCCTGCTACTCAAACGGTGGTCCATGAGCCAAAGAGTGTCGGAATCAGCTTTCAGGCTGATGAAGTGCATCTCTAGGGGAATGTGTCACCCTCCTCCAGCTGTACCCTTGTACTCTCCTGGTGAAGGAACACCAAACTCCACGTGGCTTCATCAAGGAGCTGGTTGGAAATGCGAAATCTTGAGCCCCACTCCCCACCTACTGAATCAGAAACTGTGTCGCTAGCAAGATCGCTGTATGGTTTGCATGAGGCTGAAAGTTTAGGGAAGCAGCGCTCCCTAAGTTTTTGGTGACTTCTCTGAAAAATGGTAGATGCATGTCTACAATGGAGAACTTATCCGTTCTATAAATCCTTCGCTCAAAATCTCTTTGGGAAAGGCTGTTTGGTATAGATGTCTTTGAGCAATGTAGAACATGCTTCTCAATGGGGTGATCGTGCCTCCCCACCCCCACCCCAGTGCACATTCGGCAAGATCTGGAGCTATTTTTTGGTTGACACAACTATGGGTGCTGCTGCTGCCATCTAGTGGATAAAGGTCCGGGATACAGCTCAACAGCCCACAATACACAGGACAGGCCCCTCACAACTGTCCCGCCCAAAGTGTCAACAGAGCGAAGGTGGAAAACCCTTGATTTGGACGAAAATGTGTCCCTTTGTATTTGGATGTCACAGAAGCCCATAATATCTGCCCAAGGGAAAGTAAAAAAGAGATCTGAATTTGACCCCAGAAGTCTCAAAAGGAATGCATGTACTGTTTTATTTTTAATTGTGGTGAAATATACATAATATTTACCATTTTAACCATTTTCAAGTGTACAAGTCAGTGGCAGTGAGTGCATTCATGCTGTTGAGCAACCATCACCGCTATCTCTTCCCAGAACTTTTTCATCATGCCCATTAAACACTGACTCACCATTTCTCCCCTCCCCCCAAACCACTAGCAGCCTCCATTCTACTTTCTGTCTCTATGAATTTGACTACTTTAGGTACTTCGTACAAGTGGAATTATGCAAGATTTTTTCCTTTTGTGTGTGGCTCATTTCACTTAGGAGAATGCTTTTTAAAATTCATCTCTGTTACAGCAAGTATCAGAGTTTCATTCTTCTTTAAGGCTGAGTAATATTTCATGGTTGTATATATACTATATTTTGTTCATCTGTTCATCTCTTCATAGATAGTTATTTTATTAGTTCTCAATGTGTACTGATAAACAATATTAAAACTTCTAGGTTTATAAAGTCCAAGTATACTGCTCTTTTGATACTGTCTCGTGTAGAAAACATTTTTGCGTGGAACCGAAGTGATTGTGACAGCAATCTTTGGGTTCTGTAAAAGTCTTACAGTCTTTCCTTGTAGAGAAAGAAGTGTGTTATTGTTGGTGGTGTAGCCATTCATCCAACAGCCCATACTCCTGTTTCTTCCTTGCCAACAATTTTGATTCTATTCAAGTGGTAGGTGTTGATCCCTTGATTTCAGTTGTCCCTTCAGAAGCCCACAGGGATGGATGATGGTTTTGCTAAATTAGTCATGAGTGACTTAGTTCCCCTTTGCCAGTGGCTGGTCTGGGATTAGGCATGTGCCTCGGTCCTGGCCAAGTGTTACACAGGTATTAAACTTATTGCAAGAGTTTTATTCCTGGATAAAATGACAGTCACTTGAGGAAGAAAGCTTTTGCCTTCGTTTTTGTCCCTGCTAAGAATTCTTTTCTATGAGGTGATTTGGTCCCCATCTAGCAACCATGAGGTGAAAATCCTTGGAACAAAATGCCAATATAGGGAGGTTGATAGAATTGAAACAGGAAGAAGTTGGGGCTTCGATGGTGTTGTTAACCCACCCCATCTTGTTATATGCAAACATGAAGTAAATGCCTTTTTGTGCTTGATCTACTCTCAGCTGGATAGTTTAATATGTGTAGCCCAATGCGTTCTAATGGATACCTGGCTCATAGCTCACCTTTTCTTGGAGTTCCAGTAAAGATTTTCAGAGAACATGCTGACTGGCTCCCCAGCGAGGATAGTCCACCAGGTGAAGTATCTGGAAGAGAAATTTGGGGAGATCAGATAGCACATATCTGGCTAGCTCTCAACATTAGCCACTACTACATCAAACTGTTTACATGATAACTCTCTGCCCACCCACACCCCAGAATGTTCAGCCAACAACTCACACACACTATTGTTGAAAACAGTTGTTTTTTCATAACCCAATTTCCTTCCTGGGTACCCATATCATGGTGACTGGTACCTCTACCCACCCAATTAGTCTTCTCAGGCAGGAAGTCCTGAGTCAGCTTGGATTCCCATCTCCCCTTCAGCCCTCGACCATGTCTGATCCATCCATCCATCCATCCATCCATCCATCCATCCATCCATCCATCCATCCATTCGTCCATCCAACAAATATACATATACTGGTCACCAGGCATTTTTCTAGTCATTGGCAATATGCTCCATGGACCTTACATTCTAATAGAATGGAGAAGCCAGTATATAGAAAATAAACACCAATGTAACTTCAGATAATTTATCACAATTAAAAAAAAAAGTAATTCTTGAATATTATAGCTGAAAAAGACCTCAAAGATGTTGTACCTTAGCATTTCCTAAAACACGCATGAAGCATGCTACCACCCACTTCCACATGCAGATTCCTGGTGCCCCAGACCT